ACAAGGTAAGGCGTCCAGGGTGCTTCTGAAGTGGGACTGGGGTCCTGAGGAGTGTGCACCCCGCTGACTGGGTCCCTTTCTTCAGGCTGTGTCTTTCCATCACGGATTTCCACCCAGACACGTGGAACCCGGCCTGGTCCGTCTCCACCATCCTGACGGGGCTCCTGAGCTTCATGGTGGAGAAGGGCCCCACCCTGGGCAGCATTGAGACTTCAGACTTCACAGTGAGCTGGGGGCGGGAGGGGGGCAGTGCGGTTGGTCTCCACAGCTGCTATACCCAGTCAGGACAGCGACTCCTTGATATCGGGCTTTCATTTCTCTCCCGTTTTAAGTAGGGGTCAGGTCTAGCATCATCAGTGGATGATGCAGGAAGGTGAACAGCCTTAGGAGACCACACGTCAGCTTGTCACGAGGAGCATGCTTGTGGAGTCCTTTCCACACCAAGAAGACAGCAGCCCTCGACTGTCTGTCAGTGTGTGTTTAGATGTGAAAGAATTGAAATTAGCCTTCGGGCTGATATTTCTTCTTTTCTCTTCCTAGAAAAGACAACTGGCTGCACAAAGTTTAGTGTTTAATTTAAAAGACAAAGTGTTTTGTGAATTGTTTCCCGAAGTCGTGGAGGTAAGAAAGTGAAAGTTGGCCATTAGTTTTGCTTTCCCCATGTCAGGGACACTTTGATTCAATACTTTCCACAGAGAACATGTGCTCCTGTACTGCAGACCGGGAGTGGGGGGGTGTTTAGGTGCAAAGACCTGACCCTCTCCTCCGGGGTCTGGGGGTTGGATGGTGGGTTGGAGACGGGGAGAAGTCGGGGGAAGGCCGCTGGGCCTGTCGAGGTCCTGGGGGGCCAGGGGTGAGGGGCAGGGTCTTGCCCTGCTGGTCTTGGTGCCAGAGCAGACAACCTGGCCATGAACGGGAGGCTGAGCCACACGCAAGTCGGGGCCCTGGTGGTTCAGAGTAGCTCGGACCTGGCTCGGTCCTAGCTCGTGAGGCGTAGGCTTGGCGGATTTGGCAAGTCATGTGGCCTCCACGTCTGTTGAACAGGATTCGCAGCGGCACTGCCTCCGAGGGCAGTTGTCAGGACGAAACGTGCAGCCGTTGCCCGCCGACCCTGCAGGGTCTCTGTGGTAGACCGCGGTCCCCTCCCTAGCCCTGAAGGAGCTGGCTTGTTTCAACCAACCCTTGTTTCTTGCTGTTTTTGTCTTAGGAAATTAAGCAAAAACAGAGAGCACAAGACGAACTCAGTAGCAGACCCCAGGCTCTCCCCTTACCAGACGTGGTTCCAGACGGGGAGACGCACCACGGCCAGAACGGGCTTCCGCTCCTCAACGGGCATGCGCCGGGCGCTGGGCCGCACCTCGCGGGGCTCCAGCAGGCCAACCGGCACCACGGACTCCTGGGCGGTGCCCTGGCGAACTTGTTTGTTATAGTTGGGTTTGCAGCCTTCGCCTACACGGTCAAGTACGTGCTGAGAAGCATAGCGCAGGAGTGAGCCGCCGCCACGACCAGCAGAGGTGGTCGGAAACGAGGGACGCTGGGCCCGAGCTCGACGTGGGCTGGCTGGACATGCCGCCGAGCACTGGGCGGGCCTGCCTGACTCCTGGGGTTAGCTTTTTAAAAACCTTCAAAAGGAAAACACAAACCAAAGTGTGTAGTTGGATTTGGAGACGTGAGACTCCCAGCCCCCATTCTGCCCTGGCGTCCGTTGGGGGCTGGGAGGCTCCATGTCCACGAGAGGGCCTCACGCTTTGGTTTTATAGCTTATCTCCTGTATTGTCTTTTGGATCTATTTTAGTAATCTGTTTTTCATTTTATTAGATTTGGTCACTTAAAAATATAAAACTTGATGCCTATCCAACACTCTGCGTGCGTTCTTAGTGTGGAGCTCTGACTCGGCAGGCAGTGCCGGGGGCCTGGCAGGGTGGCTGGGGGCCTGGCAGGGTGGCCCGGGGCCCGCTGGCCGGGGACAGCCATGGGTGGGTCAGGGGATTGGGCTTTGGCATTTGTGTTTACTTAGAATGAAGCAGGTTCCTCCTGGGAAAAAGCACGTGTGCTCTGTTTTGCTGAAGTTGAGAATCTGCTTCCTTTCTGACCACAGGCTGTCACCGGGGCTGAGCTGTGCGTCCTGCGCGGTCGCGCTGCCGGCTTTCTCTCACCCCCATGGCTTCCTGCGGGCTCCCACTGGCTGCGCTAATGGAAGGAGGAGACCCCCCCAGCGGGCCCCTGGGTCCCACCCGCCGGACAGGCTCTGCACACGTGGGGCTTCCTGCACACGTGGTCCAGCTCTTTGGTTTGCCCTGGAGACAGGCTCACACATTCCCTTTCACAGCGGATCCGTGGCCAGTTCTTAGAGGCTGGCCGCCCGGGAAGGACACCCGGGTTCAGGGGCAGCACCGGTGGGCGCCGTCTCAGACCTGGGGCCTGCGCCTCCTGGATCGCCGACGTCTCCCTGTTCTCGTCTCTGCTAATGACATCCTGCACGGTGTTTGGAAGGCGCCGTGTCCGGGCGCCACCGCGCGACACCCTGTGGCCTCGCTCCAGAGGCCGGCAGGGAGGCCGCGTGCAGCCCGGCGCTGGTGCATCTTTCACGTTCTTTGTTTTTTGATCAATTTATTTAAAATTGCTCTTTGATTTACTGCTTGTGTGTATTCAACCCGCTCTTGTGAAAAAGAGTCTTTCATTTTGTCTTTGTTCCTAAATTTTGTGCTCTTGGGGTCTGTATACCACAAGTTCCTCTCCGCCCAGCACTGGGTAGCCCGTGGGCAGCTGGGTGTCCTGCGACCCACGGTGGACCCCGGTGGCGGGGTGGTGCTGTGCTGCTGGGCCCGGACCCCGACGGGTGCGGCTGTGCCAGGCCTCCCTCCGTCCACTGCTGGCCCGAGGGTGCGTCTGTGGAGGTTGGTGCCCCTTCCAGACGCACTGCGTTTCCTGAGGTTCTTCGGAGGAGGAACATTTGGGAAATAGAAATTACTTGACAAGTGTTTTTTCTTTTGTGTGTGTGAAATCTCAACTTTTAAAAACTTCAGTCAGCGGTGGGAGCAGATCTGTGCTGTACAGAGGCTCCCCCTGGCACCCGTGGCGGTTTGCTGTCTGATGTGACCCCCGAATAAAAGATGACCTTGTCCTGTTGGGCCTGTGTCTCTCCCTCAGAAGGTTCTCCCAGGCCCAGGTTTGGGGTGTCACCTGGCAGGCGCAGCTCGGAGGTCTCGGTCTGAGGCTGTTGCGGCTCCCCCCGGGCGGCGGGCAGACGGCCTGCTGAGGGCTGTGCCGGGGCTCCGAGGTCCCGTCCTCCCCTGTGGAGGCGTTGTGTCCATGGTCGGGTCGTGGGCAGCTGGCCTGAGCCTCCCCGCGGGCAGCCGGTGGCTGTGGCTGGGAGGCGTGGATGCCTCGAGCAGGCTCCCTTTGGTCCAGCCTCACTGGGGGAGCTGGGACCCACAGGACCCACGGGCTGGTGCCGGAGCCTGGCACAACTGCCATGTCCACGTGGCCCAGGCCAGCAGGACACAGGTGCCCAGCCTGGGACAGGAGGGGTCTGTCTGGCAGCCCCCTGGCTGGCTGTTGGCCGCAGGTCACGTGGAGGGTCCCAGCGGGGATGGCGCAACGGAGGCTTCTGTACCATGACCTCCTCGAGACCTGGGCTCAGCAGCCGGACACTCGACCCCCACAGTGAGTTCAGGAGTCACTGGGGCTGGCCGCTGCCGTCCTGGGAGGTGACCACCTCCACCTGAGCCAGGAGGGAGGGGCCAGGTGTCCTTGGGCAGATGCTCCTCACGTTGTCCCCCCCAGCTTGTGTCTGGGGCGGGTTTGCCTGTAGCTGCTGACTGTGGACATGGCCTGGGGCCGGGGTCTCCTTCCCCGTTGTTCCTGCTGGAGTCTGCCAGTTGCGGGGGGGGGGGAGTCATGAGGGTCTCCTGTGCTGCCCTCCAGGGTAGTGAGCCGTGCCACCTTCCTCAAGGCTGGGCTGCAGGCAGCAGGTCCTTGACGGCCAGCCACAGCTCTGACGGCCCGTAGCCCCAGGCTGCACCAGCCGAGGGGTGGCTGGCCGTGGGGGTCCTGCCTTAAGCATCGAGCCTCCACCCGGGCCTCCACTGGAACCTGTGGGTGCCACCTGGCTACAGCCGTCTTGCTGCCTGCAGCCCAGAGGTGAGGAAGGGCCCCAGCTCCCCCTGGGGACCTGCCCACTGTCACTTGCTCTCCTCTGCTGCTGGCTCGTCTGGCTGTGCACAGCTACTGGGGGGACAGTCCTGGGGACTGGAGAGCCCAAGGGGCCCGGCTGAGTTGAGGGCAGCCCCTCAGTAAGGGTGGGCCCTGTGCCCCAAGAAGAGGAGGGGGCAGAAGTGATCTGGGGCAGCTATGTGCCACACCTTTCCTCCGAGGTCAACCAGTCTCCCCTGCTGGCCCCGCTCACCCCAGGTCACCAAGGCTGGGACAGCCTGGGAGCCCGGTGGGTTGGCTGTCCGGCTTCCAGACCCTGCCCTTCCCGGGAGCGGGGCCAGTGCCTGTGGCAGCACCAGGACCCTAGGGTGGGGGCCCTGCAGCGGAGCCAGAGGGGTCAGGATCCGGGAGAGGTGGTGAGGAGAGAGGTCGTAGGAGGCGGCTGAGGGGCTGTGATGAAGTGCGTCCCGCTCGTGGCTTCAGGGCCCCGCCCTGAAGGGGCCGGGGTGGAGGCCGCCTCGCCCCCGGGCAGTAGCAGTGTGGGTTCCGCCCCCACCGTCGCCCGGCCACCCGGGAGCCCTCCCCCTTGGAGTCCGCCAGCGCTGGGGAGGAGGGGAGGGTTTATGTGGCGGCAGCGCGGGCGGCAAGGGCACTGCTCACGAGGGAACCTGTGGGGACAGGGGTGTGTCCTCCCGCTTCCCTTGCTAGCCAGGCTCATCCCGCGCAGACATGCACCAGTGGTGGCCGGGCAGCCCTCGGGGCTGTGCTCCCGCGCCGGGGCTCTGAGTGCCTTCAGGCACCTGGGCTCACATCACTGAGCCGCTGCAGCCGACCCGGCAGCCAACATGCGCTGGGTCTGGGCGGCCGCCGCGGCCCTCCTCTGGCCACAGCTCACGCTCCTTGGGGGCGTGAGGGCCCGGCGGGAGCCCAAGAGGCCACGGAAGCCCGGCCAGCACCCCGCAGCCCCCAACGCCACCACGTCCAGCAGCGAGGGGCTACTGGGCTTCCCCAAGGTATGCAGGGTCTGGGCGCACGTGGGCGCCTTCCTCCCAGCTGCAGGCTCTGCCCGCTGGACTCTCCAGGCCTCCCCTCCCCGTCTGGGTGGGGGGGGGCTTTGGGCAGCAGCCACAGCAGTGTGGATCGGGCGGGCCTCGAGGACCCTCTCTGGGCCTGGGGAGGGGTGGGGGCGTGGAGGGGCTTCCCAGTGGGCTACATTGAACCCTTTGAAGCCCCAGGGACCATCATGCCCTGAGCAACCTGCTGCCATTTGGTGTGACTGCAAATTGGGGAGGTGCTTTGGGCAGCCAGTTCAGAGCCCCTGCTGCAACCCGGGGTGCCCCAACTCCCGCCGCCGGTGAGGCCAAGGCTAGCCTCTGCCTGACGCGCTGCTGGGCAGCCAGCACCCCTTACGGCCTCTGGCATGGGACGTGCTCCAGGCCTGGGAGGCCCCCGGCCCTCTGAGAGGAGCTTCTTGTACCTGCCTCAGCCCTAGGGTTCCACCCTCTTGGGCTGGGGCTCCCCGAAGGGATCTTAGAGCTGACCCCAGCAGCGCAGGCCTGGTGGCCGCTGGAGTGAAGCGGCAGTTGCTGGGCCAGGCCCCCTGCCAGCCCTCGAGCCTTTGATCCTGGCCTCCCGCCTCCCGAGGGCGTCTCCGTGGCGGCCACCCCGGCTGCTCTCGGCCCACGCGGCCCCATTGGAGCCGGAGGCGCCGTTTTCCAGCTGGGTAGGCCGAGGAGAGAGTCCGCCTCGGGCCCTGCTGCCAGGGGAGTGGGCTGCCAGCAGGTTCTGGGGCAGAGGCACGCAAACTCTTGAACCAGGCTCCTGGGGGAGGTGTCCTTGGGGACAGTTCCTGCCCGGCCTGCCCCTCCAGAGCCAGGGCAGGGCAGTCTGGGGGCAGATAGGGGGGTGTCCCTGGCCACGCCACCCCTGCCACAAGACGGCCCTCCCCAGGTGTCAGGAGCCCTGCTCTTCCTGCTGGGGCTGGGCTCCTCCCCCACCTGCCCACCCCGGGTCCTCCAACATGGCTCGGGTCTGAGGCGGCCAGAGGAGCAGGCGGACAGCAGAAGTGAGGACCCGGAACGTTCGGAAGTTCCTGGCTCCTCTCCCTTCCCTGGCGGGCCCCTCCCAGCTCCCCAGGGTAAAGGCCTGCCCTGGGAGCCTGGGCCTTCGTCGTGTTTGGCGCTGGAGGCTGACCGCTGGACCAGACCTTGGCCAGGACCCCTCTTCGTGCCTGCCTGGACGGCTCTCCAGGAGTAGCCAGGGCTCCACTGGCCTCGTGGCGGTGGCTCTCTCCTGCCACACCAGAGTCTGCTGTGCTCCTGGCCACTTCAGGGACCTCTGTGTGAGGCCGGCACACAGACCTGGACGCAGAGAGGGACCGAGCTCCCGGCACATGCCCCTCCCCTGGCACGCTGTCGCGTTCTCTGACGTTGGGGCTGGGCGTGCCCCTGCCTCTCCTGCTGCCCTGCTGCAGAAACTGGGCGTAGGAGGGGGGCTTGCAGGGTCCGATCCTGGGCTGCCAGCTGGCACACCCGATGCCCAGCACAGAGTGGGACCTTGCCCACTGCCCCCAGCCTCACACGGCTCTGGAGAACTCACTCCTGCCCACCACTGCCTTTCTCAGCTGGGGCTGGGCCCCTGTCAGGACATGTGGGGCCCGGCCCCGTGTGCACACGGGTGTGCCCGTCTGCTTGGGAACGGTTGCTGCAACACAGCAGCAGACCCGAGGCTCCTGGACGTCAGGCCCTGGCCTGAGTCCTGGGGGTGGCCTGTGGTGCCCCGTTGCCATCTTCCTTGTGTCTGCCCAGGGGGCAGTGGGGCCTGATGGTCAGCACTCTAGCCCTGTCCTCTGACCCTTCAGCTGCCTGAGGCCTCAGGGCCTGAGTTCACAGATGCCCACATGACATGGCTGAACTTCGTCCGGCGCCCCGATGACGGGGCCTCAAAGAAACGGTGCCGAGGCCAGGACAAGAAGTCGGTGAGCCCCGGGGTCTACGCCCAGGATGGGGATGGCTGTGGGTCCCACAGCTATCCTCATTTTCTCCTGCTCCCCCACAGCGAGGCCCCCCTGGCCCCCCAGGACCCCCCGGTGCGGAAGTGACCCAGGAGGCTGTGCTCCGGGAGTTTCAGGGGATGCTGAAGGGTAGGCACCCCCCGCCCACTCTTCTCCCGAGGCTCAGGAGGTCACCCTGGGGGTACCCCAAGCTGAGCCGAGCCGCCCCTCCACCCTGTCCCCACAGAGGCTACCGAGCGTCGGTCCTCAGCACCGCTGGGCCCGCTGGTGTCCGAGGCCTTCCACTGTCGGCTGAAGGGCCCGGTGCTGGTGGACAAGAGGACGCTGGTGGAGCTGCAGGGCTTCCAGGCCGTGAGTGGGCGTGGGGGGCAGCCTGGGGGCTTCCACTGTGGGTGCTCAGGCCCCAGCAGGGCCGGGCGACCCCGGGCCCACGCACGCCCCGCCGAGGCTCGCGGTGGGGTCCGGGGTGGTCAGGGGCAGGCACACCCTCCCCTCTGGAGGTCCTTGGGGCCCCAATCTGTGCCCAGAGGCCTGGGTGGGTGCAGATGCACGGGTCAGCCCTCTGCCTTGCCCACCTGGGGCCTCTTTGGGCTGGGGGCTGTTGGTCTCAGGCGCCTCCGCCAGGCTGGGTGTGGAAGGTGAGGGTCCAGACTCTGTAGCCCGCACCCCCCTGCTGTCCTTTCAGCCCGTTGCCCAGGGCGCCTTCCTGCGGGGGTCTGGCCTGAGCCTGGCCTCCGGTCGGTTCACGGCCCCGGTCACCGCCATCTTCCAGTTCTTTGCTAGCCTGCACGTGGGTGAGCGGGGCCGGGCCAGGGTGCATGTGGGGCGTGGGGGCTGGCCTTCCGGGTGTGCCCCAGGCCTGGGTCCTATTGCAGAGGCGTCTCCTGCTCGCACCCTGACTCCCTTGGGGGCTGGACGGGTCCTCACGCCCACCCTCCCCAACCCGCAGTGTGCCCCGAAGCCCCCCAGCCCCTGCCCCCCTGCTCCGTCCTCCCTGAAGGTGCTGCAGACCTGGCCTGTCTCCGCAGACCCCAGGGAGCTGCAGGGCAGGGCCCGGCTGCGGGCCCGGGACACAGTGCGTGTGCTGGTCTGCATCGAGTCCCTGTGCCATCGCCACACGTGAGTGGGCCCTCCTGGGGGTCGTGGGGGCGTCCTGAGGGGCACGGGGACCATCTTGCCCACAGAGGGGGGCTTCCCTGAACACAGAGAACTGCAGTGAGCACCGGGGCGGGAGGATGCGAGTCTCTGGGTGCCAGCGGGGGGGCGGGGGGCCCACCCCGGGGGGCGCCCACCCCACCCCACGGCCACTGTGCCCTCACCCCTGCGGCCCCGCGTCCAGGTCCCTGGAGGCCATCTCCGGCCTGGAGAGCGGCGGCAGGGTCTTCACGGTGCACGTGCAGGGGCTGCTGCAGCTGCAGGTGAGGCCGGGGGTCGGTGGGGCAGTGCGGGGGCGGGGGGCAGTCCTGGGCCTCCAAGCTGCCCGGGCCGGGTGTCGCCTGGCCGGCAGCCGGGCCCTGTGGGTGGTAACGTCCACTGTGGGTGTCTGCAGGCGGGACAGTACACCTCCGTCTTTGTGGACAATGGCTCCGGCGCAGCCCTCACCGTCCAGAGCAGCTCCAGCTTCTCCGGCCTGCTCCTGGGCACGTGAGGGGCCAACGGGCCGCAGGGCAGCTGCCGCAACCCTCACCCCGCTGCCCTCCGGTAAACCTGGGGTCACAGCAATAAAGAGCCCCCAGCCCTTCCTGTCGCCTGGTCGCTGTGGCGTTGTAGGGGCAGGGGTGGGGGAGGGCGGGGGCAGCAGCAGCCGTGGAGTGGCCTCAGGACACCCATGGGTGCGGGCGCGGGCTTGGCCCTGGAGGTGGAGCTTCCGGCCGAGCACCCTGGCAGCTGGGGTGCGTCCCCCACGGCCCCTGTGCCTGCCAGGGGCCACGTTTACCTCGATGACAAGGACAGATGTCTGTTCAGGCGCTGCTTGGCCCTGCCCATGGCCTGGGACCACCCCTCCGCCTGCCCAGGGCCGGTCCAGCCTCAGAGGGTAGCAGCCCGTGGGCACTCACAGGGCCTGGGAGACCTCGAGGCTGGTGAGTGGCACAGTGCGTGTCGGGGAGCAGAGGGCGAGGCGGGGCTCCCCGTGGGGCTGGTGGGGAGCAGACAGGTGTGCTGGCCTCACACCCTCCAGACGCGGACGATGTCCCCGCGGCCCGGATGTCCTCAGCGTCCCTCATTCCCCCAGGGACCTTACTTCTCACCACCTTCTCCTTGGCGGCTGCCCCCCCCCCCCCCCGGCGACAGGGTCAGAGTGGCCTGGACAGGCGGCTGAGGCCCTGCCTGTGGGTCCTGTGGATTCGGCCCCTGCCCGCACCACTCAAGCTCAGACGGAAGAATGTAAATTGGTTGTGGACGTCCGGGTCTTTACAGAGCTGCCGAGATACCATCGCTGGTTGGCACCTGGGCCCTGGGTGGGCGGCCGCACCTGGCCCCTCCGCCCATGACTGGGGCTTGGGGGTGGGGGATCAGCTCCGCTGCAGGGGGGCCCGGAGACCCGTCTCCAAGGCTGAGCAGGGAAGGGCAGGGGCTCGGGCGTCCGTCTGCCAGCTCGGGTTGGCGTGGGGAGTGGGGTGGGTTACCAGCCGCTCCGCCAGACCCTCCCTGCAGCCCGCTGGGTAATGAGGCAGGAAAGCACTGGTGCCGGGAGGGCACCAGTGCGTGCAGCGGCGGGCGTGGCCACTGACCCGTCCCCACCTCTCTCCCCGCTCCCCCGGGTGGCATCAGGGGCCCCGGGTCTGGGGGCGGTTCTCGGCTTCATGGCGCCGCCGGCCTGGTCTGAGAGGGATGTTCCCACCGCCTGCAAGGGGGAGGCGTGAGTGGCGCACTGGGGTCTCTGTTGGGAGGTCGGGGGAGGCTGCGGGCCGCCCCGCACACCCCCGGCACCGAGGTCCTGTGTGGGCCGAGGAGCCCAGGCCTCCTGACACTGCTGTATGGAGCCCAGCTTGGCCGCAGGCACCAGTCTGTGTTCCCACCCATGTACAGGGCTCACTGAGGCGGTGACTGGTGGGACCAGACCCCCCCCCCGCCCCCGGGGCTCTCCTGACTGTCCTTCAACACTGGCCGGTCCCCCCACCCTACCCCCGGCCCGGGAGGGGGCAGGTCTCACCTCACCCAGACCTGCCAGGGGCTGTGATGACAGAGGTTGGGGCCAGGCCCTGCTGGGGCGACAGACGGGAGACAGGAGATGAGGAGAAGAGAGATGGAGAGGACGGACAAGCCGGCCGCCCAGGGCTTCTGCGGGCAGGTGGCCAGGGCCGGAGGGCCCGCGCCCGGCGCCCGACTCCACGCTTCCCGTCTGTCTCTTCTTCCTCCCGGTTTCTGCCCCTAATGGGAGGTCATTAACCACTTAGCTCTAATTCCCTTGGAATGTGCCATGTCCAGCTGGGCCCTGGCGCTGGGAGAGCTGGAGCAAAGACATGGGGGGCTGGGGTGGGCGGCAGTGGCTGCTATAGGCGGGTCCAGGGGCACGAGCTGGGGTGGCCTTCAAAGACGCAGGCTGTGCTCCCAGTGCAGACAAGCGGCCAGTGCAGGGTGAGGCGCCAAAGGCCCCGCCCTGGACCCAGCAGCAGCATTTTCTCTCGGCCCCGTCATCTCCTGAAGCTGGACCCAAACTGGGGTGTTTGCTAAGCTCCCTGGGCCCTGGGCCCTTACAGTCACACCCACCCAGTCTGAGCAGGGGCTCCTGGGGTGGGTTGTAGCAGCTCTTGCTCCTCGGGCTCACCGGGGGTTCCGGGTTGGGGGCCTGGGGACGGGCTTTTCCCTGTCCTGGACTCTGGGTTTGGAGCTGGGCTTTGAGGTGGCCAGCACAGCGCTGGCGGCCTCAGCTTGAGTCCTGACTCCGAGCCCTGCTCTGAAGCAGCGGCAGGTGCTGGGCTGACCCCGTTGGCCCTTCTAGGCTCAGTTCCCAGAACCTCTGGCTGACCCTTCTGCCTGCAGTCGGGCCTGGGGACTTGCTGTGCTGGGGGCTCCCGCGAGGGAGGACGCTTCCTCCTGGGAGCACTCCAGCCCTGGCTTCCCAAGCCCTGGTCCCCGGCCACAGCCGGGCTGCTGCTGACTGCCCCTCCCGGCCCCGAGGCTGAGGCAGCCCTGGGGTGCTGGGGGCAGGTGTGTCCAAGTTGGGCCAGAGCCAGGTCAGCACCCTCGGCCTGCTGTCCAGTTTCAGTGCAGACAAGAATGTGGGTCTCTGGCTCAGGGCAGTTTGAAGTTCTCTCAGGTCCGGGCGCAGCTGCCAGCCCCCCCTTCCCCCCACTCCGCCCCGCAGGAGCTGGCAGGGGCAGGGGTGGCCCCTGGTCCCCTCTGTGGGCTGCGGATGGGACAGGGTAGGGGTGAGGCCAGCAGGACAGGCTGCCCACCTGGCCTGGGCTGGGGCTCCGGGGAGGGGGAGGCCCTCAGGGTGTGGCCAGGACACGCCGGCCCGCTGCAGCCTTTTGCAGCTGCCTGTGGCCGGTGCCCAGCTCGGTGTGACTTCGTCCCCTCAGGCTAGGCCTGGGCTGGGCGCAGGGATCTGCTCCAAGGGCCCCTTGGGCTGCCTCTCCCCACCGGGGCCCCTGTCCTTAGCCAGCCCAGACCCTCTGACTCCTGTGACCTGGGCCAAGGACCCAAAACGACCCGAGGGGGTGTGGGTGTGGGGAGTGCAGGGGGCCCGTTGGGACCTGGGTGGACGTGTCCTCTGTGTGGCTGTGCACCTCTCCCTGGGTCTGCACGAACCTGGGCCCGCCGTGCTGACCCCGCGTGCCCCAGTGGTGGCTGCGGTGGTGACTCTGGGAGCTCCGCCCTGCCCTGTGGTCCAGGTGGAGCCTCCCATGGTCCCTGGTGTCTGGATGCCGCGTGGGGGTCTCTGAGTGCCCTCTCTCTCCGCCCTGCGGCCTGCCTGGGCTTTCTCGGCAGAGCCGAATCACCAGGACCCTCGGGAGTGGATACAGAGCAGGTGTCCAGGCCTCGGCGGCTGGAGACCCTGGCTGGCCGGTCCCTGAGCTCAGGAACAGCCATGCTCAGGGTCCTCGGCACTGGTCCAGCCAGGGGGGCTTTCGTGCTGGGCAGTTGGGCTGGTGGCCGCACGGCCATGGGTGCCGGGCGGGGAAGGGCCACTGCCCAGGGCCTGGAGCTGGACTCACCGGACGGCCGGGGACTCTGGGTGATGGGGGAGGGGAGAGGGGCTCCCGGCCCCTGTCCTGGCGCAGAAGCTCCTTGCGGGCAGCAGGGAGCCTTATCTCATCCGAGGCCTCCAGCCTGCACTCAGCGCTCTGACCTGGGACCTGGCTGCACCCGGGGGGGCCCTCGCTCGCTCACTGGGCTCGGCCAGCGTGCCCTCTGGGCTCCGTGTTCAGGCCACTCCAAGCCCTGCATGACCTCGGGGCCCTGACCCAGGTCATCGAGGTGCTGGGTCTCCGGCCCGGGGTGCCTGAGCTCACCCAGGAGCTGACGCCTCCAGCAGCCTGGGGCCTCCCCCGGCCCAGCCCTGGAGCTGGGTGGACACAGGCTGGGGAGCCCGCCTGGGTATTGGCAACTCCCACACCGGTGCCTGTGTGTGCCGCCATCAGCGCGCCTGCCCCTCGGTGCGTCTGCCGGAGTGTCTTGTGGTGCACGCGGGCAGGCCTGGCGGGGGCCGGGGCCCTGGGGACCAAGGGCCTTTGTTCGGGAGGATTTGGGTGCAGCCCTGCTGTGGGGCAGTGACTCATGGGCTCCTCTGGTGCGATGACATTGGTGTTGCAACAGCTGGCGTCACACGCACTGGGGCAGTGGGGCAGTGGCCAGGCCAGGAGAGATGGCCACCTGTGCCCGCAGCCCCTCCGGGCGGCTGGTGGGACCCGGGCGTGTGAGAATGGGACTGAACAGGAAGGGGCATCACGGGCAGAACTCCGCCTCTGAAGCGAAGCGTCCCCAGAAGCAACCGCTGCTGCCGCCCCGCCGCCTCGCCGCCCGCACCGGGCCCCGCAGCGGGATCGGCCTGGCCTTCACTGTGGAGGCTGCCCGCTCTCGCCTCTGGGGCCGGAGGCGCAGGCTGGGGTCCGTCTGGGAACACAGTCAGAGGGCTGGACACGGTGACCCAGCACTGCTGGCCGGGCTCGAGCCTGGCTCTGGCCATCCGCCCGGCACTCTGCGCGGGACGGGGTGGGCGGCTGTAGCTGGGGGTGCCGGGCCCCCTCGGGGGCTGGGCCGCCGAGACCCTCAGATGCCAAAGGAGGGAGGGGCCGGGGCTGGGGTTTTTCCTTCTCGGGTCACTGGGCCGGGTCAGGCCCTGGGTTAGTGGGAAGTGGGAGCTGGACGAGGGCCCTCCCTGGGCGCCTGTCCCGCCGGCAGGGCCGTGGAGGTTCGGTGTTTAGAGGACAGAGTCAACCTCTGTCCGGTCCCCATGGCCACCCTGGCTCCTGGTTCCTCCCCAGCCCTGAGCGTCACCCAGCACCGTGGCCAGCTGGGCCCTGCCCGGTGGACCCTGCTGGCCGGCTAGCAGGCATGACCTGGGGCCAGCGGCCATGGGGTACCAGCTGTGAGCCCAGGGCATTGTATGGTGGGAGGGTCCTTGATGTCCTGCTGAGTGGCCAGGTCAGAGTCGGCCCCCTGCTAACACCCTTGTCCCCACTGCCCAGACCTCCTAAGGTCCAGGGTCCAGCTGCCCACCTGGCCACCAGAGCCCCCTTCCCAGGGCGGGGGGTGTGCTCTCGGGTAGCTGCCATCTCTAGGCTCCAGTGGAAACCCCTCTGTAGAGACC